AGAGCCTCTTACAGACAGATGCTGAGAGGGAAATCCCCATCTGAAATTATTTCGTTTATAACACAGTTCAAAATGAGGCTTAAATGCTCTTTTTAAAACAAATGGCAAAAGTTAAATCAAAAACCAAGGCAAAAATATATATTTTTCTTCTTGATCAAACTGAATTTGTTTTAAAAGAGTTAATTAAAAACTGAGAGTACTAATTGTTAATTAATCAGTATGAACTAGTTTTGGTGTTGGGCTCTAAAATGGCTCAATAGTACATAGGAGACATATTTTTCTACAATTAGGCGTTGATGTCACTCAAATCCGTTCACTAGTTCTCTAACAGCTTCCAAAAATCATATCAAACTTAAAAACCTTACGTAATGTTTTAAAATATTTTAGCGTTTAAAAATTAACTGCTGGATTTGTTTAGTAAAAACTTAAAAGGGCACATTTCTCTAGATATTGGTGAATAGTTTACACAGATTTGAGTAAAAAAAAATTGACCTACAAAAAAGCGGAATATCCCCTTTAAGTGTTCAAAAGATACTACACAGAGTTACAAAATAAATTTCCCACTATTTTTTACAAAAAATTAGTCATAGCTTATTCGAAAAATAAAAATCTACAAGATATAGTTATTCGTGGTCGACTTGACCCCACCGATGATGTAGAGTGATCTAATAGAATCAAATATTCTCATTTTCATTGTTTTTGTACTTTATATAATAGTTTAAAACAATTTACTTTCTATACCTGCAGCCATTAATCGCTTTTCTTTATCATTCCAGAAAATTTGAAGCAGTCAGAGTTTTTATGATTCTGTATTTTCCACAGACAATTGTCCCAATGTCATTTCCGTAAATGTAGATTATAAGTATTATGAATTTCTTTATTAGGTCCAAGAAGATTTATAGGATAACCGTTATGATCTTCTTTGATTTAGTTCATTGCATATTAACATCACAATTATTGTAAACATAACTTTAACCCTGTGCCAGTGCCTTATATTGAATAGTAACTTGTTACTCTTCAATCACCCTAATCTCTATCATCAATATAAGCGTCTAAATCTTCAAATCCCGCGCAACTGAAATATCTCTTTCGAAAAGAACATACTTTAGAGCAATTAAAAGACGTAATATGATAAACTACAGTAAAAAATACAAACAAAGGACATCTCGAACTAATTGGATGGAAATTCTGAAAAAGAAACGAAATGAACAATTAAACAAGGGAATAAAAACGTTAATAATTAATAAAAACAGAATTGTACACTAATTAGAATCCCTAATTACCGATTACAGCGAATATTAATTGAATACACTGGTTCAATAAAAATACAAAAAATATTTCTTTAATTTTTATTTTTGGCAATTTGCTGTAATTGGCATAAATGATAAATATATATATTTTTCAAAAACGTATTATTTCTTTCTTTTGTAATATTTTTGAAGGTCCTGCTAATTGCCTGAAAATTAATTAATCAAAACAGAACATTCACTCTTAAGATAAAACTACTTAATTGTTTTTTTAATATGATTTTCAGACATCTTTGACCTAAAATATGTGCTAGAATTCAATTTTTCGAATGATTTTTTGGGAGAACTCTCTCAGACGTTCCATGAGAGTTTTGCAACAAGACACCTCCACAGAGTTGTTGCCTGTTGAATTCAGCTTCGCCAAATGTCCCCCATAGAGTCAGTCTGTCCCTTATCTGTACCTCAGTCTCGGGAGGCTGGCGCCGCCATTGGTAAAGTAAAAGTCAACATCGGATGGACACTAATAGGAATTTACAGTGGCTGCAAAATATATTAAAAGAATTCGAATCTCGAGTCCCCTCGTTACCGTCTGAGTTACACAGCTTCCCAGCTTAAAAAAAAACTCCATTTATCACAACTTTTTCAAATAGGGTTGCCACAGTTCTTATCTTATTCTGCTAAGTTCATTTCGTGCAGGTCACTGAGAAAAATACACAAATTATCGTTTAAAAGAGTAATTAGGAGAAATAGGGGAAGAATAATAATATCTCAGTATTTGTATTCAATTGATATTTAAAGAAAACATCTCTGAGATAAAGAACATCTTCAAAGGGAGGTAATCTATAAAGGGAGATAATTTGTTTACACGAGGAACATGGGAGATAATCGTTACTTAACCCTCATTTGAAAATATTTTACATTTACCTTATCTTAAGATATCAAAATTATACAGAAATCGAACGTTAAAATTACAACCCGCATGTCTTTTTAGAATATATTTGCACCTGGCTTTTCTTTTGGTACATCTTTAAAAAGCAATTCAACAAAACTTAGTCTTGTCAGATTTACTACAAAATATACCCTGTCATATTTTTTGAAGATTTGAGGTTCATATTCCACATTTAAATTAAATGTGCGTTAAATGAAAGTCGTTGAGTGGAGTCTCGAATTAATTTTCATCAAGGGAACAGAACTGCTCATCTCTATTATTTCTTCATTAAAACCCCATTTAACCCTCCCAACCTCTGAAAAACTGATCCTGAAAAACTGATGCAGTTCTACGACATCGGCATCCATTTTGGAGATTCCACACGGCAGATGCTTTTTCGGTTGGCTTAATTTCGTTTCAGTCTAAGATTAAGATTAAGATTATTGAACTTGGTATAGCGCTCATTACTGCTCTAACATTCAATGGTGCTTTACAAACACAAATATTTCTACATTGCATCTTTAAAAATTCTGAAAATAAACCGTGATCGAATTTGATTGGTTAGTTCTATAAGACATATAGAATAAATTATCCCGCTCACATGAGAGATTTAACTTATAGATTGAAATCTTTCCGTGTAATCACCGCTTTACCAAGAGGGAAATTGCAATCAGAATTTTTGTGTTAATCTTCAACATTCTGGCCAACATTTTTTTCGGATCAAAGTTAAAACTTTTTTCTAAAGATACAACATCAACGGAGGAGCCAAGCTGATACTTAATGTTATTTCATAGTGATGCGACACCGGATCTAATTGGTCTAGTATATGTCTCTTTTATAACCGGAAAAATTCATTAATCCAATTATACGTCACTTCCTTCCGATTGATTACCACATCTCTCGATTTCTCGCGTGATTAATGACGCCATTAAGGGGAGATAATGAAGGTGATGACAAAGTGGAAATTGTTCAAATCACCATGAAATGAAGTGAAAAGATTGTTGATGAAGACATCTTCTGCAATGAGAGTTCTTCTCTAGTCCAATAACATCATTCTCGATTCTTTATATCGCTTAATTACATCGCATTGACAATTGAGCAATGATTTTAATTCGCTTGATTGCCCGGATGTTATAAGCGTCTCTGTCTCCATGACAACTTTATTACTAGAAATGGGAAGACAGTATGGTTGTCTGGGTAACAACTAGAAGTTTATTTAAAACAGTGAATTGATAAAGACTTGTGTTTAATTGGAATCAGAATAAATGGCGGGGATAATTCGTACATTATTCTAATAGAGGTTAAGTTATTGACGTGTTTCCCGCCATTATTAGAATTAATGACGTGATGCGGGCAGACGAGCGATTTCTGATAGAATTAAAACAAGTTAATAGACGCCACTTTTGTTTTATAAATATTTTTCTAAGCAAATTGTCTTTAAAGAGTAAAAGATAATCGATACGTACACACGCCTATTAAATTGGAAAATGTTTTATGAAGAAGCATTAATTGTCGACCAAGCCTGCATCACGATAAATACTACCATTATTTAAAATCGTAAAAATGTTGTTTTCGAGAGATGTCTCTTTCTTGGTAAAAAAAATTCAGAATTAATAAAATTGTTGATCCCCTAAACCCACTTTATTGGCATATCCTTCATCTCTCTTTTCTTTCTCTTTTCGACCAGGTTACGGCAAAAATATTTTTTGAAGATTTGAGGTTCATATTCCACATTTAAATTAAATGTGCGTTAAGTGACAGTCGCTGAGTTGAGTCTGGAATTAATTTTCATCAAGTGAACAGAACTGCTCATCTCTATTATTTCTTCATTAAAACCCCATTTAACCCTCCCAACCTCTCTCCCCCCTCGGCTATTTACCCTCATCTCAATACCAAATAGTTGTATATCAGGTGTAAATTAATAGGGAGGAGTTGGTACATGTCACTATCAATATTCAAATCTTTCTAATTCTTTAATACTCGTGACACTTAGAGCTTATTACATGTGCACAATAATTGATTACGTCACAACAACAATGATGGATACCGGAAGATGTGTTTACAGGTGATAGCACGTGGCGAATATTGAATGCAATTAATTATAGGGTAGTTAAACACATGGTTGATGACAGTTTCAGTATTATTTAGGTAGTAACAAGTTTTCCACAAGATAATGTCCTTTTCTTAAGATTGGATTAGGTGTTTATGTGGGTTACCTGTGTCTGATTTAGTCCTATACGAACAATAAGATTAATTCTGGTTAAAAACTATGTGGATCATACATGTATGTCATATTGCCTTCTATCTTGAAATAGCATGAAAAGGGCTAACGCCGATAAGGGGCTAAAATTTCCGGTACTATGATATGTACCAAAGGTATTGACTTATAAATTATTTTTCAAGTATTTATCATGAATTGTAGGTCTAAAACACAGTAGCCTACAGAAGTAACAATCGGTAATCGATATTTGGCCAATTGACCAAAAGTTATTTAACGTGGGTGTATCAGAATCAATGGTTGACTTTCAAAACGTGCTATTAGACACTTTCATATCCGTCTTTAAGTTGAGAGAAAGCCCTTGACTGCAATATGAAAACTATAGATAAAGGGAAGTAAAATGTACTTTAATAATAAATCAGACAACAATGGATATAGTAAAAAGAAAAGAGGAACAAAGTGTCTTGTCTCCGTGACTCCACTAAACCAAGTGGCAAGACAGGTAATTAATAAGCAGAAATTTACTTGCATTTCTACAACGCTGAAATAAAATGTTCAAAAGTTACAACCATTTTATGTTTCTACGAAGTACATTTGCAACTGAGCATTATGAATAGGTAAAAGAGAGATCAGAGTTGGCCATCTTTTGAGATAATACCAAATCAAATTGCTCATTTTCTGCTACAGTAAACCAGTTCTTCCAATCTCCAACTTTTCCTAAAAATCAAACATTCATAGTGTAATATTACTAATGTCTTTAAATAACATTCCAAGAATACAAACTATCATTAGCAAAACCTATGTAACGATACCAAGTTCAATTGCACTTAAAGTAAGGAGAAATGTTACCTTAGCATAGTAATATAGAAACTAAAATTTTTTTGTTACCATCAAATATATTAAACGAAGTTAAGAACATAATCGCCCAATAGACGTTTTTCGAGAGCAAATGAATAAATTAAAGGGAATCTTTGAGGTGTTCGCTGATACCTAAGGATCAAAGATCGTTTAAGAAACGACGCCCAGGGTTCTATGGAATATATATACCTTTCCTATAAAGATGTGGTTCATCTGCACAATTTCTCTCTTCCATCTGACGAAAACAGCAAGATTTGATGACATCATGAAGAAGGCGTTCGTCTAACTCAACACCAAGAAAATGTGCCAGTCTTTTAACTTCATTGTGTGGATTCTGAAAGGTTGATTAACATAGATATGTTTACGTGGTTTTGAGTAGCCTTAGGTTATAGATGATCTCCACAAAAATTAAACAATTTGAAAAGTCTCTAATGGTGCATAGTCGTCAGTGGACTTAACGTGGACATAGACGATATTAACAGGGGAACAGTCTTATCCGCAAGCAGATAACCACCGATTTCAGTTTTTTTTAGTTAACTCAAAGTATCAGATGAAGGGTGGGGCTTAAAAAGTTAAATCGTTTAAGGAGTCTCTCGACTATTTGGCTCGACCGGTCAATCGAGACAAACATCAACGTTTAGGTAAAATGCAAGAGTTAAAATCACTGTGCTGTTTCCAAATGAGTTTTAGGTAATGACTTGGGTTCTTTTTCTCGTGGCACTCTCGGTGGCTCGGTAAACAATACTAAATACAAAATGAAAACACCCCACAAACACATAGCCAGCGTCTGTTTACTAGTTTAGTTTTACAAAGTGATACAGTGTTGACCAACTCAAACTAAGTACAGTAGTACCAGACAACCGACCTTTTGTAGTTGTTCATAATTCAGCTGAAGTATTTCATTCCCGTCAAGTCTATTTTTAATAACCTCTTCCCAGTACATCACATAATCAAACCAGCAACCAAAATTATCTAAAAAGTAAGAACATCTTTGAGAGTATATACAAAATGAAAATCATATATTACTCAGCTGTTCAGATGGCTTGACTTACCTTTTAAATTCGCAATTAAGAGAAGCTCGTTTTAGTTTATAACTCAAAGGGAGCTAACTGCGAAAAATCAAAGAACAACTTTGAGACTTAAATGTGCCATATAATTATGTCTTTTCTATATATCACAGAGTATAATAAATTGACGAGTCGTCATTTTAACATTCAAACGCAGATAATTCTGGACACGCAAGCATTTGAAGGCTCAAATTTCGACGGTGAGCTGTGAACACTATTACTAATTAGCTCAGCTGAAAAATTCCAGTATCTGAGACTAAAGTATGATTGGTAAAAAAAATGGCCTGCCTGTTCCTTTAGGGAAACCAAAAATGAAAATCATATAATTTTTATAGTGTTCTATTGGCTTGATTAGTATTGCTTTTAAAAGTTTCGAATGAAATGAAAATATACAAGAAGAAATGAAACAATTTAAAAAGAGAACCCCTTTTTGGTTTATAACCCAAGGGAGCTAACTAATAAAACTTTTTTACTTTTTCCTTCTAAAAATAACTGGAAATAATCTTTGAAATGGCCAGAATATTCTCCAAGATTCACCACATAGTTATAGTACGATACCAGCACATCCTTGGGGTTTCTGGTCACATAGATAATCCGATGCTTTCTGGTTTATACGGCATCAGTAATCCGATGACTTCTGAAAATATCTTGAGGTAAATCTTTATATTTTCGATGGGTCACGAGAATTCTTGGTGATGGAAGTTTCTCCAGTTTCTCACCATAGTTTAGTTCTAGGGTTTGCTCCATTAGTGTCGGAGTGTTGATGTCATCCGTTGTTCCCCTCAGTAACTTTTTAGTCAGTTCATAGACCCAGTGTGTTCCTTGAATTGTAATAAAAAAAATACAAGCTTACATATACATTGGTAGTTTCATATACTATGTACTAAAGTTACGGTAGTAGCGGAAGCCATTCTACTTCTCCCAACCCCCATATTCACAATGTCAAGTTATTACGAACTTAGTCTTATACCTTGACTGCAAAAGCCACCTTTCTTGTATCACAGAATGCGATTTGATTGGATTGTAGCGTATTTAGCCAATCTACGTACTGGACAGAAAGACTGTACGTGTACTCTGCGTAATCCGACATACACTGGAACCGTAAAACAATGTCGGATTAGCGAGAGTGTCGGAGTACTCAGAGTTTCGACATTTTTTAACATGTGCCACGTGTTACTATTTATAGCTCAGTGACTCAGATTCTACAGACGGTACCTTTCTAATAATAAGACAATAATTAAAGACAATACAGTTGTATCCGTTACTATTACTTTTGAGCTACTGTGCATAGGCTTTTTATTGGAATTAATATTGTCTGCAAACTTTTTTTAAATTCTTCTTTATTTTTTAAAATGCTGCTTATTGTTGTTTATATTTTGGCTTAATGCTTACTGACTTTTAGTCTGAGACCTCTGATTGGCTGTATTCGATAGCATCCAATCCAATCAAATCGCTGCATTTACAAACTTACAAACAGAAGAAAGGTAGCTATAGTATTCAAGGTATAAGACGAAGTACATAATAACTTTACATTGAGAAGATATAGTCTCTTGAGCAAACCTTATCCTTGGGTCTAATTTTAATAAGGCTGTAAAACTTCATCATTATATTTTTTGAGAAATGGGGCAAAGAAAACAAATTATACTACTAATGAAAATCTCCATATGTAAAGTAAACTACAAACCTGACTTTGGAAAGCTACAGATGATGACGTCATCCTCCCGGAGTTTGATATTTGGTATATGTTTGAGTAAATCGGGATGAAATGCATCACCATGTATGTCAGCCTTGTAATGTGGAAATGAATTACCATTGATATTCATTGTTGTCAAAATGTTTCCTGAATTGTCTATGAACTCTACTATATCAATACCATTATCATCTTTATAGCACCGTACATCACTTTCACTTTCTTTTAGATGGGACATGGTGAAACAATATTCTGTAACAACATTTTAGAAAGTGAAAGAATCAATTGTGGCGCCCTGAAAAAAGTTTGTGGCCCCTGATCGACTCATCACCTGATGTTTCCCAGAAACGCCACTGTTACCTCCCCTTTCTCTAAAACAAAAAAGGAAGAAAAACTTACCAAGACGATAAAAAGAAACCCCAAGACGGGACTTGTTTCACTGACACTAAATACAGCTTGTTATTATATCTTCAAGCTTTCAAATATGTTATAACACGGTTAAAATAATATTGAAATCTCAAATTATTCATATTCATATTTGCACGTGTTAAGAATACGATAGTGCCTTTTTTTTATATGCACGGTCATATCTTGAGCCGCCTAACTTATTGTGACTTTAATTCTAGTAATTTATAACCATCAGTGATAGTTTTCAACTTGGTTGAGTCACAACATTTAAATATAATAGAAAATTTTTATTTTCAGTACTTTATTCTTACGTTTTAGATATCAAGAAATTTCTTAGAAATGAAGAGCGGTGCACTTGGGTGTTCGGACCATTTTTATGGGGGTGAAAATGCTCCCACCCCCCATGTACCCCGCTATTGGATCCCATACAGTTATTAAACTGTATTGCATTTAGAAGATTTATTCATGATGAGATGAGGCTAAATTATGATCATTTTGAACATAGATTACATTTGCTCAAATATGTTGTTATTTGGTCTACATCAGAAAGACATCGTAAAATAACCAAGGTGTTTTGCTAGTTTTGGCCTGATTAGATAAACGATACACCAACTTGACGCGTTAATAGATCAGGTGATTACATGCGATCCCACTGTATTATTTAACATTCATACAATACAAGATTAAAATTGTAACAAAAGGAAACAGCTATATAACTTACACATGAGTTCCGGAGTGACCTAGTAATAGTGCGAAGTAGAATTAATATTATAATGTACTGTGGAGAAATAAATATATTACACACGTCATCACATCATACTACATAGAATACGTATTCATAAACGAGTTATTTTAGTCCGGGTATTCCCAAGTGAAATTGATATAAATTGTTTTTATCTTCAATTGTTTTATTAAAATTTGTTATGTAACAAGTGACAATTGTGAATTCGCAGACTTTAGGTAAAGCACCAGAATGTCTTCAACAATGAAAGAGTGTCCAGTTTGCCTGGAGGATTACAAACAACCCAAGTTTCTTAGCTGTCATCATACATTTTGTTTGGATTGTATTCGATCAATGGCTACTTCAAATTTGATTATATGCCCATTATGTAAAAGGGCAATGACATTACCAAAGAAATTGACTGATCTTACTACTAACTTCTATCTAGACAATACTCCTAGTGAATTAGTCGTAGGATGGTACCAAACAACACTAGAGTTCGTGTTCAGATGGGGTAAAAGACATCAAAAGCATTCAGTTCATGGAGTAACATTAAAGTTTGAATTATCAAAAGGTAAAACAGCAGAGTGTGGTGAAGTGTTAGCCATTGATATTCAACTACCACCAGCAAGGAAATATTTTGTGACATCGTGTAATATAGAATATGATATTACACTTATTAATCAGAAGAGTAGATCTATTTCTACCAACCAGAAGGGTCAGTTACAGTTAGAAGATAAAGGTGCCAGAGTTCCGTTGATTCGATATAAAGATGCTATGGATAAACATATAGGATTTATTATTAGAGAAACCATGTATTGTCAGATTTTTGAAGTTCAGATGAAGCTAAAAGTATCGAATGTTAAACATGTTGACTTCAACGTCACAAACCAAACCAACAATACCAACCAAACAACCGAAGGTATCAGAATAATCCAACTTCACCAACCAAACAACCAAGGTATCAGAATAATCCAACACAACCAACCAAACAACAAGGCACCAGAATAATCCAACACCACCAACCAAACAACCAAGGTATCAGAATAATCCAACACAACCAACCAAACAACCAAGGTATCAGAATAATCAAACATCACAAACGAAACAATCAAGGCACCAGAATAATCCAACACAACCAACCAAACAACCAAGGTATCAGAATAATCAACCACCACCAACCAAACAACCAAGGTATAAGAATATTCCAATACCACCAACCAAACAACCAAAACACCAGCATAATCCACCACCATCAGCCAAACAACCAAGGTACCAGAATAATCCACCACCACCAACTAAACAACCAAAGTAAGAATGCATTAAAACAATTTGATTTTTTCTTAAATTTTCTTGAGAGAACCCTCTAAGAGACTCTATGAGAGGCTTGCGACTATGACACCACCACAGAGTAGCCAAAATTTGAATTCAGCCTCAGCATTTGTCCCCCATTGAGTCAGTTTGCCCCCTATTTGTACCCCCAGTCTCGAAAGGCTGGCGCGGCCATTGGCTACGTTTATTTAAGGCAAACTTAATCGATCGGCGAGAAGTGAAAATTATGAAATTTTTCTCCGCCTTTTTCTTGAAGGGCATCAGTGATTTCATTGGCTCTCGTGAGCTACATACAATCATTACGAAGTACTTGTAGATTGTGAATACGTAGTAGGACTACGCATACATATATGGGGATATGAGCTCTGGCAATATTCATTCGCCACATGTCTCCATGATAAATCTCAAAATTCAACCTTGTATAACTTTTTTCAGAAATCTCGTTGAAAACTTTCCATTATGTCACATGAAAGCCTGGACAATGTTAAGTTTCTGGATAAAAATTCAAAATAACATGACCATGAAAATCTTGAACAAGCCAAACTTAAAGTAGACCACTACATTTTATCAACATCCGCTTGGTTGTCACATAACACTATTTTAAGAATTATCCTTCTGCATGACAATCTCTCATCATCTCACAAAATCTGATAGAAATGCAATTACAGATATCAAATTCCAAACATAGATAAAAAAAAATTAGTCAAAAATAGGCACGCAAAAATCCCAAAAGAGAGTGAGAAAGAGGATTACTAAAATAGCACTGACTACATTCATTAGCATAAAATGTGGTCCATATAAAATTGCTCTTACCTCCCTTTAACCAATTCACGTGCGATGGATCTTTGATGGGAATATGTGCCACAGTTTAAAAATAAACACTAAATTATTTGTAAAAATGAAATATATTTCTATTCCAAAAATAATAGCGCATAAGCAATATCAATATAAGTTTATACACGGACGACTTTCAAGGATTGTAGGGTAGGGTTTGTTGCACTTAGAGCTGAATTTACTACTTCGCTCTGTGCCTAGAGATATGTAGAATCATTATTATCTATATAGACACATTTTCCAGTTCAATAACTCAGCATAAGTAACTATAAGCGTTTTTATTTAAGCAAATCGTATCGACACAGATCAAAGTGTGCATTTATATAAGTGAAGCGCCCACCACGATTTGTCTACAATATACATCTATGTTAGCGCTTTGCCAAAGCATTTATCCAATTCGACCAAATCGTGGCTCTCAGCGATTGGTATGATTTGTTTGAGGTTCAAGATTCAAGTAACCAATGTAAAAATTCAGAAAGCTATACTGGGGGTTACCTGCCCTTGTTCTGGAGTGATTATTTAAGCATTTTTAATATTATAAATGGTTGTAAAAAAAGAAAAAAGCGAACAAATGTTAAATGACAAGTGTAAAAAAACAGAAAACGTTCTGTTTTATATGTCCTTCGTCTTGTTCAAAATGTATAAGTGGTTTCATCACTGCCTTTGGGGTTTTTCATTGATATTTAGTATTTTGGCTTTTTTATTTGTGAAGATAGCATAAAAATATTGTCTTTTGAGAAATAATGAAATAATATTTGTTAAAGTGTTAGCAAAATGTCTGTTGTGTAAAAGGCATTTTCTGTTTTACAATTGACAAATGTGCATTGGCTTAATTATCACTGTTCTTACCTTCCATGATAAAAGCCCTACATAGCACCCTTTGTTGTCCCTTCAATAAAACCAGGAATCGAGCAAGTTCGATAATCCACGTCCAATATGAGCGTTTACAAGAGAAACTCCTCTATGTCTATAAACAAAAGATAATTGTTACATTTTCAGTATATTTAGTATGAATTATTGCCCTTGTTCTTGAAAACGCGTTAAGCTTATGGCTCGTAAACACTCTGGAGGGCAGAATTCTTGACAGATTTTGACAAACTTGTTGTGAGTGTTTGTAATCAGTCTTGATTGAACCCTATTGAAAATCGAAAAATATCGCATGTAAACATCCTAGAAGGCACAATTCTTAACGAAACCTGGGGTGAGTGTTTGTGATCACTCACTAATGAACCTTATTGGATGAATCGAAAAATATTTAGTATAAATTATTGCCCCTGTTCTTGAAAACGCGTTCAATTGTTAGCTTCGTGACTGATTTTGACGAAACATGTCGTGATCACACAAGGATGAAACCCATTGAAAATAAAATAATAATATCCAATCTTGAAAACGCATACAATTTTTAGCTCGGAAACACTTAAAGGCTCTAATCTTGCCAGATTTTGACCCTCCTGAAGGTTGAATATTTCATACTGATGATTTTTACTGTACAGCCAGTGGGCGTATGTATATTACGTTCCTTAGCAAGCTATCTTTCTAGAAGGGCGTTTGTTTCTTGTGTTAAGTTGTGTAAACGCTTCACCAACTTGACACGCAAAAATGGTTCATTAGACAGATTTTTGCGTTCCAGTCTACAATTAGTGAACTTCTATAGATAAAGTCTTTGAATGGCATTTAGCAATTGTGAGTACGATAGCTTTATGGAACAACAAACACTGGTTAAAGTTTAACGTATCAAAACGTAATACTACTAGAGTGGCATGGGAGAGTACCCAAGGTTAATCATCGGATGGCGTTTTTGATTGTCCTCCTTAATCACATAATGCCCACTAACATCCAACCATGTATGTAGCTAATTTGAAGGCCTGCTAAAGTTCTTACAGATAATAAAACGGTTTGTATCAGTTTTTATATAATACTATGAGTAAGTTTTGATTACTTCAATTTTATTAGAAACCCAATATTCATATCTAGTTTCCAGATATTAGTGCCCTTGAGACGTTTCAGACTCACAGTTGACCTCTTAGTATCATCAGGGCGAGACGCACTTGCGGCGACCTTTCATATTCAAAATAGGTAAAGTAGTTTCTATATAAAATAATTATTAATAGATAGCCATTCACCAATACAATCTAAAATGATAATATTATTCATCAAGATCGAATCTGTACATTTCATCCAACATTAATTTTAATTTTCTTGGAAATCGAGTTCTTGGGATGCGTCATGACGTCATCAATAACGTCTAAAATCCAAGCAATTCCCAGAAAAGACAATGTTAAATCGACTTACTTAATGTTTTAGGTCATATTATAGCTGACAGCAATAGCGGAGGCAAATGTCACTGAACATGGAATGCAAACCAATGTATCAAAATTGCATGGTTTTTTTGTCTCTTAAAAATCTCATATTTTTTGCAAATGCAAGTTTTCCTTATTTCAATCATCTTCGTGTATTTAGCTGCCTCTTGGAAGTCTACCTCGATGTTTTGAATGTTTTCTTTCTTAGATTTGGACACTTTAGAGGCACCATAGACATTAAAATATAGCCTGAATTATCCGTGAGACATACTGCATTTCAACTTTAAGAAAGCTATGAAGATTTCTGTAGGAACAGTTATAAATTGTGAAGGACAGTGAAGGCCACCCAGGTAAAAATGTTCTCATTTTTATAATATTTTTTTGTTTATATAGGCTTAATTTAGAATGATATCTACAGAAATTTGTTATATATTTCATCTATTGGAAATGTAACCCCCAGTCACCTCATTGACCCATATGTTTAACAACAGGCCTTCAAACATGTCACTATATCGTATATATAAGCCTAATTGCTCATACCTCTACCGGAAGTTATTAACATAATTGTGTCATATTTTGGTAATACCTAAAGACATCGACGTTAACTCTCAGATACTATTCATCACCTCAATAACACTAAGTCCAACATCAGGCCTTCAAACATGTCACTTTATCATGACGTATATAATTCATATTTCTCACACTACAGCATTACACCTCCACTGGAAGTGACAATCAGAATTGTTTCAGCTCTTGATATTATAACCCATAGACATTGACAGTGACTCTCAGGGACTGAGAAATCTCAGTGACCCACATGTTTAACAACGGAATTATATTCGCCTCCTACAAAATTCGAATTTACTCTCAATTGAAGATGAAATCAGTCACTATCAGCTATTTATTTATATACTATTATCTTGTGGGTTATTACGTTATTATAATAAAATAGATTTATAGACCTGTACGATTACAGACACAAAATTTGAATCAATTTTCTGTCCATACATGCATTCGTGAGCCAAAGTTCATTCTTTACCCTTAGCAAACACATAGTTTATCTTTACAATCTAACCATATCGAGTTTATAAATATGTTTTATGTATTTTCAGTTTTACATGTATGCTATCTATAGTTATATAATAGTAATAAAGAACCACAGTTTATTAATCAAAAGATTTATTGATTTGTTATGGACGTTTCCTAGGATGCGGTCAAAATATATCTGATGCATGGTTCTCTAGAGTGTGGATTATCATAATAGATACGAGTCATTTTAAGTCAGGGTTTACCATGTCATCGTGGTTATTGAAACTGATTTTCTTTGGTATGTAACAGTCATACAAGTGACAATTGTAAAATTCGCAGACTTTAGGTAAAGCACCAGAATGTCTTCAACAATGAAAGAGTGTCCAGTTTGCCTGGAGGATTACAAACAACCCAAGTTTCTTAGCTGTCATCATACATTTTGTTTGGATTGTATTCGATCAATGGCAACTACAAATTTGATTATATGCCCATTATGTAAAAAAGCAATGCAATTACCAAAGAAATTGACTGATCTAACCACTAACTTCTATCTAGACAATACTCCTAGTGAATTAGTCGTAGGATGGTACCAAAAATCACTAATTCTCGAGTTTAGATGGGGTAAAAGACATCAAAAACATTCATTTAATGGAGTGACTCTAAAGTTTGAATTATCACAAGGTAAAACAGCAGAGTGTGGTGAAGCCATTGATATTCAACTACCAACAGCAAGGAAATATTTTGTGACATCGTGTAATATAGAATATGATATTACACTTATTAATCAGAAGAGTAGATCTATTTCTACCAACCAAATTACAGTTAGAAGATAAAGGTGCCAGAGTTCCGTTGATTCGATATAAAGATGCTATGGAGAAGCAAACCGGATTTATGATTAGAAAAACTATGTATTGTCAGATTTTTCAAGTTGTTATAAGTCTGAGATTATCCAATATTCATAAAATTGACTTCAACATCACCACTCACGACCCATGTAGCATGTAGTTTTTCAGCCCACGATCAATTGTTTGTGGATAAATATCTTTAGCTAAAATTTCGTTGAAAAACTAACCAATATGTCGCATGTGAAGCCTATTCAATACTTATATTGTTACATAAAAATTCAATATATCATGACCTTGAAATTATCTAACTAGGCAAATCGAAAGTAGACCACTGCCGGATATTAACATACACGAAATGGCTATTTTCACACTTATTCCTCCGCATCTGAATATCTAAATATTGTCACATTTCCCAAAATCTGCAAAAATGATATTTTCAATTATTGAATCGCATCTGAATATTTTAAGTACGTCATATTTCCCAAACTTTGAAAGAAATCATAATTTCAGACCATAAAGGAGGAAAAGGAAAAACGCGACCATGCAAATACTGTAGTGATCTAGTCCATGCAAATTGCTCTTACCTCCCTTTAATTCAACTTTCATGTTATGAGTTTGTGTATAGGTTTTGATGCGTTTACGTTCATATCCGATTTTAATACGTGGCGCTGCATCATTGGAAGGTCGTAGATTTGTAGAATCATGTGTATAGAAGAATTTTCCAGTTCTATAACATATTATTAATAATATTATTAGTAGATACCATGGATAACAGTTGCAGCGTGACAACGGGAGTTCTATGGCGCGGGTATGGCCAATTTTGCTTACAGATGCATAGCTTGAATCTATGTTTATAAAATATATCCTCGGACATAAAGGATTACAGACATGTAATTTATACACGAGTTATATGCTTCACTATCCCTAATTATCCGATTAAACTAGCCACTAATGTCTTGGTTGGAATCAGACCACTAATAACCTAAATCTGCCAATAATTAAATATTGATTACCATCTCCACAAGTAATTTGTTGTTAATGGCGCGAAACCATGATAAGGCATGAAATTTGATTGGTTCTTGCCACCATATTGTATAGATATGACCTCACGTGACCTGCAGACGTCTTGTTTTGACAGGAAGTGATGGGAATGTTAAGGGAATTAGTCTTTGATGACGTATATTGATGGCTCATTCTAGTCTGTTGATTAACACAAGAATCTTGGTGTAAGAAATAATTTCAGATTCTTAAGATTCTGTGGTATCAATGAAACTTGAAAGAGGTCGGTGTGATCAATGACGGCGTATACTACAATCATATTTATTGGCGTATCAGTTCAGGTTGACCCTTCTATGACAAACTATAGAAATACTAGGATCATTTTTCTTGCTGTTTGCATCATAATTATTGAACGTATTACTAAGCTGGACCAGTTCTATACAAATTCATGTTTGTCACTTGCTATAGGCTACTTTACATGTTTTCGGAATACGAACTCAGCTCTGGCTCAAAATCACAGAAAATGCAGAGTGGTAGTTGAGGCTCTAGCACCTGAATCAATTTCATCAATTCCAAAAAATTTCAGCAAACACTAGTATTTTGAATCTTTTCAATTTATTATGAAAGATAGTCTCAGCCCTCATGCCACAATCACGATAAATACTGTTGCTATACTCGGCATAAATTGTATACATACACATTAATAACAATTTATTTAAAACTAAAATGAAAAACTTTACAAATAATTTACAAATTTATATATCTCTGATCTTAATACTTCTTTTACCAGTGGGTGTCTTATCAAACCCAATGATAATCATATTGTTAATAAAAACGACAGTGCATTTCAAGAATTGAGGTAACAAACAAAAAAGAATTTTACGTCCAACTTTCTTGTATCTGTTTGGGGACAAGCAACGCCATGCAGTGTGCAATGAAAGGAATTTGTCCCTTATTGCTAATATAATAACTATATTGATTGCCTAAAATTTGAGAGTATCGCTTCGAAGAGGGATAAAGAACTTCTGAGGCAGAACCTGATTAAGAAATTTGCGGAACTATGACGGTGGTTAAGGGGAATATCGTGCTTTCTATCTGTCCGGGAGCAGAGATAGGGTTGTTTCCAATATTTGAAGAATCCTGATGTAAAGACTGTAATTTCACTACTCAATTCGTCTCTTACTACCTTTTCTTTAAAATGTGTTAGGAAATTTGGTGTAATAATGTCATGCCGAATTTGGTGACTTAAGTTTAAGGCATGCTATATCATTTAATCTATAAATGGTTGCATTTTCTTTAATACATGTGTATGGAAATCTGATTTAATGAAAAGGAATGGAATATCTGAGAGCGACATACACTTTTTATGTTTATCAGATGGAAATCTAGTAAATGAGTTGGTGCTATCGTATCGGATCTGTCGGATTACAATGAGTTGCCGCTATCGTATCCGATCTATCGAATGACACTAATTGACATTCTCACAACAATATACATGTACATTCTGCTCTGAGAGTAATACCTCCATACGAAACTACGTGCATGTAAGAACCATACGTAGTTTCGTATATAATACCTCAACACACCAGAGAGCAATGTGTATTCAGGAACGGTCCTGGATACCCATTTTAACAACAAGAGACTTAGTCGCTCTGAAGAAATAGGATTCCAATAGGAGCAATTAGCAACATGAGGCAAATGCCCATATACGTTCTATAATTGGTATTTCGATGCAAGACAATTGCAAATCAGTACTATAAGATACACTTCAAATCTTTGATGAAAATTTAATAGCTAAATCCCGTTTCTGAAACTAAATTATGATTGGTCACAAAAAATGGCACAACTGTCGATTTAAGTAGTTGAGTACATGTATAAACTAAATCAAGAGGTGAATCAATCAAATTTCTCTGAATTGTTAATTTTGTCACCAACAGAGAAAAATTGATTACACGAAGTAGTGGGTGATTGTAAAATATACATTGTTTATAATAATGCACAATTAGAGAAAAATATTACTATATACACTTTCCTGATAACATAAATACTTTCATACCGTGTAGATATATTAAAACAGAACCTGAAACATGTTGTTACTCAGAGCAGAACTGACCTATTTCAGCCTGCGTCCGTACTGAAGTTTGTCAAATATGTTTTTTTTCATGTCCATATTTCGAGACAAGTTTGGAACGTTTGTAGAGATTTATACTATACAAGTTAGAGTATTTGGAGACTAATCAGAGAGTTTGATTAAAGCATAATTAGTCCATAGTCTTGAAATAAATTCTATTAAAAAAACATCTGTCTGATAATAGGTTTTGAATCTTAACACGCAAAAGATGGACAATCTCTAATCAGGTGCCGTTTGAGGAGTTTTGAAATTACTTTGTCCGATGTTGATTTATATTCCCAATCATGTAGATGTAGACTGTGGACAGTCAAAATTATTCCAAGGAAATATCAGTTTCTTATTTCTGAGTTCATGAACACTCAATCTAGACTTGAATCCTGAACATAATTATGCAAATTGGCATAAGCATAAGATCGGTGTACCACTTAATAGTTAACTAGCATAACATAAACAATTTTCAATTCATGGCAATGATAATCGCGGGAATGCGAGATTCCGTTCCATAATGCTAAAGGTTTATGTAATATGTTCAATCTTTCCTGCCATTTTCAGTCGAGTAAATGGGGATGAGTCAAGATCATACTGAGTACTTGTCCAGCTGTTCCAATTTACGGACTTAACATGTTCGGCTCTGTATTTTTAGAATAGTTATTCACTCCTGAACTTAAATTGCTGCCATTTTTCAAGGGAACAACTTCTTCATTGTCATAGCGAGATACGTCATCACAAACAATAGATGGAGCGACTGTAAATCCATCTTCTTCTATGTGACCACCTGATCCGTTATTCGCCGTAATCGTAATCGCAGGAACGTTAAGAGCCGGTGCGGCAACGTCCGGCGTGTGACAACACAACTTCATCTTGATCCATGACTGAAAATCTTTACAACATTGACAACACAGCACTTTCATGAATTCCGTTCGAAAATTGTCGTTAAGCCATCCATAAAGGACGGGATTTAAACACGCAGACGCAAGCACCAGCATGTGACAAATGGCATACGCTAAATTGATGTTAATTGACTGTTCACGACCTTGGAGGTCAGCGCGGAAAACATCCAGGTTGAATTCACTGAGTAAGTTAAAAATATTTAAAGGTAACCAACTTAACGCAAACACTACCGCAATTCCAATCAATAGAAAGTTTGTCTTACGTTTGCGATTTCGATTGCGTTCGTTTTTCTTTCTTTGATAAGGTGACCTTGAGCCTGGGTTTTGTTGATGCACCATACGGTATTTTAGCTTGTTACAGATCCTGAGATGCGCTACTATCACAATGACAATGGGTAAAACATACTGAACCACAATCTGAGCGACTGAGTAAGCTCGTTTCTCTGTCGCAAGTTTCACATCCTCGATACAAATATAAATATAAAAGTCAAAAGCTGGAAGGGGCTGGTCTTCTTTGAGGATTGAGAAGAGCAGAAAGGGGCTGGCCATTAGGAACGAAATCAACCAGATTGTTATTAATGCTATAGCAGCCCCAGCACGTTTCATACTGTCTTTAGTCGGGTAAACAATCACTTGAAATCTGTCTAAGGCAATCGCCGTGATACTGATCGTAGACACAAACACATTAGTCCCCTGAAACATAGTGGCAAATTTACACATGAAGCTGCCTAACGTCCAATGATACTGTAACAGTTTATACAGATTGAGAGGCTGGGTAAACAAACATAACGTGAAATCTGAAATAGCCAAATTAATGATAAAAATATTTCGCGGGGTTCTCATTTGAGAGTTTCTGGCCACGACGTAACAAACCAGTCCGTTTCCGGCTGCACCAAACGTGATCATGATCGTGAAGCACACAATGATGATATATTCTGTAGTAGTCTCTAAAGCTTTGTCCATTTTCGACTGTAACAATATCTCCATATAATCGAACTCCATAGCCTGCGTTTCGTTGGTTATAATAACACCAGAGTGAGAGGATTCGTTGGCGTCCGCCATCTTGTAAGTTAAAACGTCTGCGTCCATTTCTACAACACGTTCATGTCTTTAATATCCTGAAATACAAAATAGAGTAGATATATATGGTAAAGTTTAACAAAGTAAAAGTAGAGTATAGTAGTAAGTAGAGTTACTTGAGCTAAATATATGACCAATATTGCTTGATGAGGCTGCGTCAAATACAAACCCTACAAAAGAAATGTCTCAATCTATCGGTATGTTGGCGTGCAAGATTTCTTTCAATTAAATACTAGTTAAATAACATAACATGTATCTAACTGGATAAGGAACAGTTTGTCAACGAGAAAAGAACTCCGCACTAATTGAATATAGAATCCAGATTGGTTTTATAATTCATTTTGTTTATTACACCTAATATAATAATATGCACTACTTCCGGAATCAGTTAGTGTTGTTGTTATAGTATTCTGGAGAACAGTTTCTTCATATACTCATGGAAATAAGAAGCTTAATTCCAATTTAATTCTTTGCAATACCATGTCTAGAATATTCAACAGTCTAATAGTTCAAGGGGATTGTATCTAATGAGAACCTAATCCAATTGAATGGTGGAATTAAACCCTTCGTGAATTTCATGGCCACATAAAAAGGAAGTAAAATTGCTCTGTAATCCTTTTTAGATTCTATTCAAGTTTATAAGATCATTTATATGTACATGCTTTTCTGGTCCTTGAATACAGAAGTACATTAAAGGTACGCCTCCACATAAGTTTAAATTGATAATATTAACATATATATTAAGAAATTGTAATTAGTATGGAGTATCATATTAAAGGTTAACGATCGGACTATATCATCGTTATTCAAAGCAGATGTATCGTGGTTAACGGCCAAGTACCAGTATTGCATACACCTCATAATGCAATCTTTTATAGCAATATTTTCCCATTTCTAATAAGGTACAGAGGAGTTGATGAACAATTCATATTAGTTAAGAAATCAAAAACATGTACAAACAAATTGAGGACTTGTGAAAAACGTGTATTATTGTTCATCTAAGAACGTGAGATATTAAGGCTTAAAACAGATATGTCAGACAAAATTATAAAATAAATCATATATAAATACTGTGCTTAAACGAATACCTAACATTGAACAACAATGAAGGTGGATAGCCCCACTGTATGGTTAAAACATTAATATAATCGCTTTACATAGCACGTGGATTAATTTCCGTTTCATGTTAAAGTAATGTAATTTAAAACCGTTATTAAATCCACCGAGAAGAGTTAGGTTGAAACAAATCACATTAGGGATCAGTGAACTAAAGTCTTTTAGATCAAATCAACCTTCTGGGATTCAACTCTGGCCTTTCCTGGTACATGTACTGAGACTGCAGAGCTATGTTTAATGGCAGAACTAAAGCAATTACAAGACCAAGCTTATTAACAGTCTATTAAATGACGGCATTTAGAGCTCATTGTATGAAGGAACATCAGACAAGATTGTCTGCTATTTTCCTTTTACTGCTAGTAGATTGCATGTTCATATCTTCGTTTTCCTTTTTCAGGATAAAAGTTTAGATTTTTACCATTGGAAACAGGAAACCACAAAAAGATTCAAATCCAGGATATTCCAGAACATTTAAACAGAATAGAGGTTCAACTCTTTTTAAAATATTTTTCGAGGTTAACTTTTGACTGACTATGTCGAGTCGACTAACAACAACAGTGGCTGCTGTTGTGGCATAATTTCTATGTCGCTTTAATTGGTATAGGCCTACAGAAAACTTTTCATCAATGAATGAGTCAGAAAAGTAGAACGTAAAACTCCATTCATTTCATTTCATCAATGATTTGTCAAAAATTGATAACTCCTATCATTAAAATTACAAGTTTGGTTTTATTAACGAAATTATTCGATTCTTTGCCTATCAAATTTCTGTTTTCTTTGACTTTAATCTCTGAAACAAAATTATGTTTCCACAAATTTCATCTGAGTCATTGGCTTTATTAGAAAATAAAATATCCCGAGAAATAAAAATAACATGGATAAAATCTAGAAAAAACACGATAAAACTGATTTTACTAGTTTTTATAAATGTAGAATTAATGATTGCATCAATAAAATATTTTATGGATCGGTAAATTTAGCATTTCATTTGATTCTAAATTTGATTTCAATACTTTATAAATCTTGATCAATCCGCTGTAAAAGAGGAATCAGCTGTTATATTCCATTATTTATATCCTTTCAAAATACTATATGTACTTTGGTTGGCAGATTGATGCATGAAATTAGCTAAATAAACAACGTTAGATATCTTAGTTGACAAACCCAGTTAGAGAGTGGCATGAAAACGTTATTCCGACCATACAAAACTTTCATATAAGCTAGTAAGATACGATATTGCGCACGAAATATGAAAATATTTGTTCTCACTAAAAAACACGCGAATCGTCATGAAATTAGTTACAGGAAATTCATTTATTTGGAAAATAATATAGAATATTCTTTTTTGAAAGAAGAAAGCATCCCTAATCCAGTTAGCCTTGACGTCCAGTTATTCAACAATAACATTCCTATAACAGTACAGTAATACAGTTATATCAGAAAGTATTTCAAGTTAATATATTCCAGAGTCCTTGAAAGCTATTATTTATATTACATAAACCTTACAAACGCCTCCATGTCCAAAACTCTGTTCTCAGGCGGAACATCGTGTAAGGAAGGGGGAAGGAGGCAAAAATTCTGGCAACCGACCAATTCCATTATTGCAACTAAACATTGCCACACCAGATATATTACTTGCCCTTCCGAACAATCATGTCTACGGGCATGTCTCTTCTATGAATCTTTACTATCTAAAACCTACCGTTAAGTCATCACAAAATCTTTTCTGCGTAGATAGTAAAACCTTTCACTAACAATTAACAGGTGCATGCATATCCAGGAGCTCGTGTACCATTAAGAATAAACAACAGTGAATTATTACAAAATGAGTCGAATAAGCTGCAAAACACATTAACGTTAGAATACAGAGAAAATACACTGAGTAAATACTTCAATTCCATCTAATCGTTCAGCTGACAATGTTGTGCCTGTCAATAAGCCGATGTCATGTCAAGCATGTTCGAACTTGAAAGAGTTGATTGGTCTATAATTAGATACTCGTGAAACTTCCTGCTGTTGGTCCACGTCCTCAGCACCTGTTTCCATGACAACACTTTAGTTTAGCAACCTGAAAGTGTCATACGCTCAGTGTTTTATGTTCCTTGCACGTGCTCGTTATATTTGTCAATCAACTTTCAGAAACTATAGCAGCCCGCCCGCGTCTATGATATATTTTCAATGTTTATTTTGGAATTACAGGAGACGATAAGGGGACGCACTTTCAAATTCCTTTATGGCAAAAATATTCCTCATTCTATGGCCCCTGCATTCTGTCCACTGTATTAAACAATTTAAGACTTTTAAATCTTTAAAACTAACTACATTGAGATTATAAAGAGATGTCAAACCCTACAGTGGCGGAGCTGAGACTTTATCTTTGTGTTGACAAAAACCATAGATACCATTTATATCAGGATTGATAGTCACTCAGTGTCATTTCCAATTCTATAATAATACAGGAATAATAATATAATTGTATGATTGGTACCAAGCTATACTATTATGGACCATATTCATCTAGAGTAAATACTCCTACCGTCATTATCATTATTATACTCAGTACCCTGCTATAGAAGGTGATTGGCGACTGATTTATCTGACATTCTGACCAATAAAACAGTCATTAGTTGACTAAATTTAGTCCGTATATAGCGTATATAGCTGAATCTTGGCAGTTTGATTGTATTTTTAGTGGAGATCGGCAGGGTTAAATGACATTTGAGCCTATATATAAAGACATGCCAAGCTGTATTAAAGAACTATTATTGACCTCGGATCGATACAGGCTTATCTGTGACGTAGTGATGATTGGTGAATTTAGTTCCGTAATAGGTTTGTTTGAAATCTGAGTACTGTGTGCATATTTGGCTTGAAGAATAATAGTGAATAGTATTATGTTCCATAATTCCTTTCTGTAACATGTCATTGTGATAGAAATATAATTGTAAACATGCGTGTTTAGGTGAAGCATTAAAAGTAGTATTAGGTTGTGTCTTTTATCTAAACTGGAACATCACTGGTAAAAACATAACATGACCTAAGACTCTATCTTGATTAGATTCAATTAATATCAATAACTAACAACCCCAGGACGGTCGTAATCATATTCTCACAGAGTAGATATTGTACTAGTTTATAATAACAATATCGTAGGTGAGGACATCCTCTCGTCACAGATGAAGGTAGAAGGGGTGGAAAAAGGATATATATGGTGGGACAACAAGCACCGTGTACTATAGACTGTATGCGTTTAAAGATTCGTAGAAATAGGAAAAAAGTATATTAATGAAAATTACCTCATAGCACACTACATAGTTTTGCCTGTCTTGTAAGACTTGGCAGAAAATGTGGCGTAAAATACATGGACAGGGAATCTGGTGGAACAACAACCCCCATGTGCTATCCAGTGGCGTTTCAAGGAAACATAAGTTGAGGAGGTCGGACAGAGGCCACAAAATTTTCTAGAGGAGCCACAAGCCATTTCTTCCACTATGCAAAATAATTAAAAATTTGAAAGTGGGGAGAGGTGGGTGGGGGCAAAGCCGAGTCAGTCTCTTCTCTGGTGCTATAGGCGAACTGCGCACTGCGTAGCCTTGTTGTCATTGTAAGATAGTCCTTTCCGTCTTCATTAGCCCACACATGGTGCAGAAAAGTAGGACGTTAATATCCATTCATTTCATTTTGTAAGACTACGTCATAATATCCATATCTTTTCTGAAAGCAAATACATGATTGGTTTGGGAAAAAACTTGCCAAATTACTCGATGTGTTAAATCTAAATTATTTTCAATAATTCCGTGACACTATGTTACTCTTTAATGTTAAAGAGACAGATGCGCCATTTTGGCGTTGATTTGAGTCATGAATAATATATGTTAATAATCTTCAGAAGTACTAGAAATATACGAAAATCGCATAATTCCTTCAAAAATATCTCAAGTCAGGAATTTATTTTCATATTGCTGTAGATGTCTTTTCTATATATGGCAAGGTCTCAATAAAAGACGGCTTTTTAACTTTCAAACGCGGATAATTCTGTACACACATGGATTTGAAGGTTCAAATCTCGACGGTGAGCTGTGAACACTATTATTGATAAGCTACACAATTCCCGTTTCTGAGACAAAGTTTGTTTGGTCAAGAGAATGGCGCATCGACCCCTTTCAAACATCTTGTTACATGGAACCATAGCATATATTACGTCGGGTTCATTTATATTGATAACATTCTTGAGGTAGAATTTTTCAGTAAAACATTTCAAGGTCTAAATTGATTCAAACGATCTAAACTGCCACATTTTGTTGACGAATTCTCCAATCGTGTGTGAACCTTGGTATTGAAAGGAATACTTGAGAAGGAAATTAGTCGAGAGCGAGACAGTAATGAATAACAGTGAGATGTTTGGTTTCGTTTTCGACTTCAGGCTATACGTAATTATGGTTTGTTAGATGAGCAGGTTAGAAATGTTGTTATTCCATAGAGTTTTTTTTCTGTATTTCCACCTTTTTCATATAAACGCAATATTCTTTCATCATAGGATATAATATTGGCATAAAATTCATAATTCGGGTACCGACCTAGATTCTTGCAAAATGGATTGGCCCGTTTAGTTGAGGTATATAAGTCCATCAAAAATATGTTTATAATAATTGTGTAGTATCAAAGCTTCTTCCCTTATGATGTTATGTAAAATATTGTCACATGTGTATGTAAGGAATTGCATAAAATGTGCAACTATTTTTTTTTGATTATATTTGCATTTGTATTAAAGAATTAGTGATTCTTTAATATCGTATAATAAGCCCAGTATTGCTTTACATGAGTCGTACTACATACCTAAACAATACGAACTGCTTAGAATTCCAGTCAATACGAACTGCCTAGCATAATTTGATTGGTTTACAGCAGCTCATGCTATTATTCTGTTTTATTCTCTTATTCAGATCCTCATTTCAATTGAAGATAGATATATGGTAGTTCGTTCTATAGATAGAAGAGAGACCAGTATAACTGTATCAACAAAGACCAAGGCAAAGCTGTACAATTTGGATGAAAATAGAAGATGTCGTCATCAGAGAACTTAAAAGAAATAGCTTTTGAAATTATAGCTACATTTTATACCTTACCTGAAAACACTTTGTTGGAAATTTGTGAAAAACTAAAACTCTCCCTTACTGATAAGGATATGACCAGGAGAAAGTTGGTGTAAACTGTAGAGAAATTGGTAGATGCTACTTGTGAGTCAGAAAAGAGAGAGGAAGAAGTTTTAGAATTGATGACAATAGTGAAAGGATTCAAAATGGAAACATTGAGTGACTCGGTGTCGAAAGTCACACTGGATGAAGTCGATACCAAAACAACTGAAAATGATGAACAAGTTCATACCAAAGCAATTGAGAATGATGAACCAGCTTCTTCAAACAGAGAAAATCATAGACCTATAGTTAGCCACTACATACATAAGGAGTTGAAGATATATGGTGCCATAAACGCCTCGGAGGGTATCAGTTATGTAAATTTAATTCGTCAAATTGATGCAGCCGTTAGTAAAAAGTATTCCGAGTCAGAGATAATTTGGGCTGTGATTAAATCTGTACATCCGTCTCAGCAATTGAGGGGGTATTTAGAAGGACGACCTGACCTAACGCTACCTATGTTGAAGAAACTTTTAAGAAGTCGGCAACAGAATTATATAATGAACTAACTTTGGATGCACAAGGGGTAAAAGATTCACCTATAGACTTTGTGTGGAGAATGTTAGATCTTGGTCAAAAAGTAAAGTTTGCTTCAAATGAAGATGGTGCTGATTTAAAATATGATTGTGAATTGGTTAGAAAAATGACCCTAAGAACTATCCAAACTGGGCTAGAACCAGAAATCGCGAAAGAAGGGAATTCTCAGTGGAGATCCTATTGATGAAGAAATAACTCATTCTACTAACAAACTGTTGCAGAATACGAAGAAAGGGGTAGAAAGAATAGAAGTGGAAAAGTTCCAAAGGTTAATCAAGCTACAGAGAAGAATAGTACCGGTGTTGATTCAGCGTCTTTTAAGGAATTGCAGGCCGAAGTAAAGTACCTTCGAGAAGAAGTCAAGAAAACTAGGTCCACTCCCAAAACTAGAACTGTCAGAAAGTGTGTTAACTGTTCTGAGAACAATCTAAATTGTGATCACTGTTTCAGATGAGGATCTTTGGATCATTTTCAAGCAGGATGCCGAAAAAGAAGAACATCGGGAAACGACCAAGGATTATGAACGATGGGGGGCCCATAATCCAGAATTCACCCCAAATCAATACAAAAACTTGTTGCTATTGCAACAATGAACTTAAACAACTATTTACTTGTGCACGCTGTTTGACCTCGAAATATTGTTCATCAATATGCCAACAAAAACATTGGAATGCTCATAGAGATATTTGTAGAACACTGAATCGAATTAAGCATCAACATATAAACACTTTAAAAGGAGTGTCCAAATTATCACCATATGACTCTAATAAACTTGTAGATCTAATAGGCAAGGAATGCATTGTGCAGTGTACAATAGGTGGTGTTCAAACTGAATGCCTCTGGGACACTGGATCTCAAATCTGTTTTTTGCCATTTGGGTGGAAAAATAAATTCATGCCAGACAGTGAAATTAGACCTATTTCTGAACTAGTAGATTATAAACTTAATGTCAGGGCTGCAAATGGTGATTGTATTCCTTTTATGGGCTGGATGCCCTTGACATTTAGACTATCAAATGAAATTTCAAGTAATGAGGTTACAGTGCCATTTCTATTAACCAACAGTGAAGGGATCGACAAGCCTTTGATTGGTTACAATCTAGTTGAACTTTATTTCAATAACTCTGACACAAGTGCAAGCATAAAACTTTTACAAAAAGACTTGAATGATGTAAACGTTGACACTGCAACTGCAATTGTAAACTTCATCAAACAGGAGAAATCTGACTACATTGGTGATGTAAAACTCGGACGAAGAAACGTAAAGATTCCAAAACATTCCACAGTAAAGATAAAATGTATGGTAAAAAGTGACTTGAAAGAAGATACTCTGGGAATCTTTGAGCCTGCAGAAGTTGAAATTCCTGAAGGTATTCACCTGTCTGGAACCGTAACCAAGCTACATCCTGGTTCCAAGTCAGCAGTATTTGTATTTGCTACAAATGAAACAAACACAAATATTTCCTTAATATGCAAAACATTCCTTGGAACTTTGCAACCTGTTCAATCAATATTTCCTGTGGAATATAGGAAGGAACCAGTCCAACAGTAAATCATTTGTCAAGAAAACCAAATGATGAAGCATTATGGCACCCACCAATTGATCTGTCAGCAGTAGATTTGCCAAATGAGCAGAAAGAGAAAATTCGCCAGTTGCTATATGAAGAATCAGCTGCTTTCTCAAGGAATAGTGATGAAATTGGCAAAGCTGAGGGATTGAAGCTTAAGATAAATCTGAAAGATGATGGTGAAATTAAGAAAACTTATATTCCTATACCAAGACCATTATATGAAGAAGTAAAAATCTATTTGAATGATCTCCTTCACAAAAATTTTATACGCAGGAGTAGCTCATCTTATGCAAGTTCGATGATTTGCGTCAGGAAGAAAGATGGCACCCTTCGTCTTTGCATTGACTATAGGAATTTAAATTCTAAAACCATCCCTGATCGACAACCAATACCAAAGATAAATGATGTACTTAATGGTTTTGCTGGAAAATCTTGGTTCTCTCTATGCGATCAAGGAAAGGCATACCACCAAGGCTTTGATGAGGAAGATTGTAGGCAACTAACAGCATTCACTACACCATGGGGTCTGTACGAGTGGATTTGTATCCCATTCGGACTGACAGGAGCTCCAGGACAGTTTCAAAGGTTTATGGAGGAAACGTTAGATGGTTTACGTGATAGATGCTGCTGTCCATACTTGGATGATGTTCTCATCTACTCAGAAAGTTTTGAGAGCCATTTAGAAGATTTGCGAAGTGTACTACGTCGACTAACAGAAAGGGGGGGTCAAACTGAAGCCTGAGAAATGTGAGCTATTCAAGAACCAGATACGCTACCTGGGTCATCTCGTTTCAAAAGAAGGATACCAGATGGATCCAGCCGATAAAGCTGCTGTCGCTGATTTGAAGAATCGGACGATTATAACAGTTGGAGACCTACGACGAATGCTTGGTTTTGTAAGCTACTACCGTAAATATTTACCTGCATTCTCATCCAGAACTAAGCTTTTATACAACCTACTTAAAAAAACCTGAAGATAATCCGAAGGCACAGTTAAAAAAGGGTCAAGTTTCATCAGGAACGAAGATAACATGGACTACCAAACATCAAGAAATACTGAACAACCTCATAGATGATTTGATGTCTACTGATGTCATGGCCTATCCAGACTTTGAAAGGGAATTTGTCCTGCTCACAGATGCCAGCCAAGATGGACTAGGAGCTATCCTGTATCAGCACGATGACCAGGGAAAACTTAAAGTTGTTGCATATGGCTCAAGGACCTTATCAAGTGCAGAGCAGAAGTATCATCTTCATTCCGGCAAACTAGAATTCCTAGCTTTAAAATGGGCAATCAGTGAGAAATTTAGAGACTTCTTGTATTACACCAAACAATTTAGAGTCTACACAGACAACAACCCATTAACTTACATCTTGACGTCAGCAAAGCTAGATAGTACAAGACATCGATGGCTGAACGAATTAGCAGATTTCAATTTTGATATAAAATACAAACCAGGAATCAATAATCAAGCTGCCGATGGATTATCAAGAATGCCACTCAACATTGACAACTATATGGAGCAATGTACAGATGCTGTAAATATTGACTGCATGGTAAACTCAACAGTCTACACAGCCTTATCAACAGATGAAATCAGAAAGTCACAGGAGGAAGACATAGTCATTAAACCAGTTCTTCGCTACCTGGAAATGAAGAAGAAACCCATCTTAAATCGAGCTACAATAGAACTTAGTCCGCTGTTGAAAGAATTTCATAAGTTGAAATTGAACTTTTAATCCGGAAATGTATATTGCCTGATGGAGATGTACGTGAACAGCTAATACTACCAAAGAAGTACCATGGTCTTGTTCTGCAAGAACTGCACAACAACATGGGTCACCTTGGTTCAGAAAGAGTTCTAGCACTGGCTCGAGACAGGTTTTTCTGGCCGAAAATGAGACAAGATATCACAGATTACATCATGAAGAAATGTACTTGTCTTAAGGGCAAGATTCCTGCAAAAGAAACAAGAGCACCAATGGTTCCAGTAACTTCAACCACCCCATTAGATCTGGTATCAATTGATTTTCTCCATCTTGAGAAGAGTTCTGGTGGATACGAATATATAATGGTACTGGTAGATCACTTCACAAGATTTGCACGAGCATACCCTACTAGAAATAAGAAAGCAAAAACAGTAGCAGAAAAGATCTTCAATGATTTCATCCTTCGATATGGTTTTCCAAGGAAAATTCACCATGATCAAGGTGGGGAATTTGAGAATAGACTGTTTAAGCACCTACAGAATCTGAGTGGAGTACAACCTTGCATAACAACACCTTACCACCCCCAAGGAAATGGCAAAGTGGAAAGGTTTAATAGAACATTGCTGGGAATGCTGAGAACACTGACCCAAGAGCAGAAATCCAAATGGCATGAACATGTAAATAAAGTTATACATGCTTACAACAGTACGAAAAACGACTCGACAGGATATTCACCCTTTTTTCTGATGTATGGTAGAAGTCCAAGATTACCAGTGGACCTGATATTTGACAAAGTCAATCCAGAATTCAACAATGCACAGGAATATTCAAAAAAAGGAGTGAATGTATGAAGGAGGCTTATCAACTTGCAAGTAAATATTCTCAGAACCAATCACAACTACAGAAAAAGCAGTATGATCGGAAGAAACCTACATCAGTAGAATTACAACCTGGTGGGAGAGTTCTATTACGTAACTTGTCCGAACGAGGAGGTCCTGGAAAATTAAGGTCATACTGGGAGGATGAAATTTACTCTGTTATTACAAGCATTGGTGAAAACAGTCCAGTTTACAGAATTAGATCAAAAACAGGCAAGGAAAAGGTGGTGCATAGAAATCTACTTTTGCCATGTGATGAATTACCATTTCACATAAATGAGAAGCAACCAACAAGAGTGGTTCATCCAGGGAAACCTCGACTTGACCAGAGAAACTCCTTCAGTAACTCAGAAAGCAGTATTATGAGCCAACTCCCCAAGTTATTGCTGAACAAAGGGGTTATGATGATGATTACAATGCTGAACACAAAGACAAAGAGACTGGTATAGAACCAGAACAGGTTCCAGAGGACACAACACTAGATAACCCTGTTGAGGAAGTTTTAGACCTGCCTGTAGTACCAGAATCGCCAACAACTTCAGTTAGCGATGATGGAATACGCCGATCAAGTCGTAATCGCCAACCACCCGCTCGACTTACATACGACATGGATGGTAACACTAGTGAATGGCGAACATCACCATGTTTAATCACTGGAATACCTGAATGGAGGCCAGTACCAATGATTCATTATGTTGGAAATTTTGGTCCTAGATATCTGAATTATGGTCCAGAATATCTGAATCATGGTGCAAGATTAAACCAACCACCTATAGGTTACCACATGCCAAGTGTCCTACCTACTGTACTAGACTCTTATAGACTATTAAGTGAAGTTAGTTTGAAATAGAAAGATGGAACTGAAGCAAAATGAAGATAAAAGTTAATGGTGGAAGTTGAGATGAAGTTAAGATACTTGTTTCATGGTGGAATAGTTATGAGATGAAAGTTCTTAGCTTTTAAAAGATGTTACCAGTAATAAGTTAGATTATGGTGTACAGAATATATGGTACATGTAATTAGATCAATAGAGTTCAAGCCTAGACTGGCAGATGTGAAGGTTGGCCACCCTGATCAATTTTTGGATATCAAGAACCCATTTTTGTTAAACTTGTATTTAGATCTAATTAATCCATATGTTATAGATTCCTCAGCGAGCAAACTTCATTTTGAGAGCAAACTTTCTTTTGAGAGCAAACTTTATTTGGTGTCCTTGCAAAATGTTCGAGAACATTTAATTTTGTGGGGGAGAGTGTAAGGAATTGCATAAAATGTGCAACTATTTTTTTTTTTGATTATATTTGCATTTGTATTAAAGAATTAGTGATTCTTTAATATCGTATAATAAGCCCAGTATTGCTTTACATGAGTCGTACTACATACCTAAACAATACGAACTGCTTAGAATTCCAGTCAATACGAACTGCCTAGCATAATTTGATTGGTTTACAGCAGCTCATGCGCATGTAGTCATTATTCGTTAAATGCCATGCTGATTAAAACGTGTTATAAATAATTATCCATTCTTTTATTCTCTTATTCAGATCCTCATTTCAATCCAAAGAGGGCTACATGTATCAATGATTAACCTGTCTCACGTCGGTCTAAACCCAGCTCACGTTCCCTGTTGGTGGGTGAACAATCCAACCCTAGAAAAATTCTGCTTCGCAATTATAGCAGGAGCTGACAGCGAAGACTCAAAAGCAACATTGCCACGCTTGGATCACACCCCCTTCCAAAAATAAACCCCAACGAAACTTGGTAAACCTGTCCACTTCCCCTTGTCAACAACTTCACTGTACAATCTTATAGCAACTGATAAGTGATAATTTCACTTGATTATCTTTTTGAATTTCTTTCATAAACACACTGGCCTCCAGGACCGTAGAAAATAACAATATAATTGGCAGCTTGAAAGAAATTGTATAAATTACCTCCGGAAGGAAGTGGGGAAAAAAATACAAGCCAGTGTATAACCAGCTGGTTCCATGTTAATTTCCAAATCGCTCAGACCTTTTATCTATTATTGCAAGATAGGTTTTTCATTATGCATTTACAATCAATGTTCCGACTGTATGGATTTGAAGGAATATTAGTGTTGTCAATATCATCGGGCACAGAAATGGGATAGATATATTTATCAAGTTCAGAGATTTCATGATTGTTTTCGGCCGCTGTGTTTCCGACATCCTTGTAATTTTAATCTTCGATTATGTGAGTCGGTGGTAATTTTGGGGGTTGGAAATACGGTGTATACGAGTCTCAATGAAAGCACTGGCCGAGGTGAAATCATACATTGCTATCAGGGACATGGAATGCGTCAGAACGTGGTGTATAACATTACGACATAATACTGACGTTAATGATTGTTGATTACAAACTCGAGCTGTTGACGCCAACATTCACAAAGGAATTAAATCATATCTTACATGGATATTGAACTTTAATTGTCACAATTTCCGCCAGTGTTGTAACAGGAAGAGGGAAGGAGGTACAGAAATATGGTTTGTACCCACAAGTGTACCTCCACTTCATTGCTAACAAATGTTGTAATATCAGTCTTAATACGTTTTTGCCCCCAAATTATGTGTCAGAATGCAAATTATGTTTTTTTCAAAAATTTCCTTGGGAGAGAACCCTTTCATGGGACACTCCTTGGGAAGCTTGCGCCATTTTGAATCTCAATCTTGACAGTTGTCCCAATAAGTCAGTATTTCCCCTATTTTACCCTCAATATCAGGTGGCTGGTCACTGTTATCAGCTACCTGTGGCAGGTAGGACATACTACCATATCTGTGACAGGATTAAAAATATGTGTATTGTTTGTGTATGGTTGTAGCTAAGTTACTTGATGTGTTAAATCTATACAAATGTTTCCCAAAACATCTACCCATATAATGTGAATTGGGAAAAGTGGGTGTGGTGTTTTAAAAAGTGGTAAGAGGAAGACAAGCGAGCTATTTGCCTTACTACTTACTATGTCACTTTGACACAACTCTACTTTATATATATCTATATATAGCGTTTACTGTTTGTGACCTAAATTTATGTTGCAGGATTGAATATCGACTTATCATAATACCCATAATTCGTTGAAAAGTGTAGATATATTTCTTAGAAGAGTGACTATTCGTTACCTGTGTTAATTCATTTATAGAGGGCCCTGAACAGACACATCATTAAGTGAAGAAGGGAACGTCTCTAGTTGTTGAAAGTATATTTTAATCCACAGAGTGGAGATTATAGAGATAAAATGGCGACAGTTACAACAAGTAACAATCTAGAATGTTCAATTTGTTGCGAAACGTTTAAGACACCGAAGGTTTTAATTTGTGGACATACGTTTTGTTTAGACTGTCTGGAGAGATATATCGGTAATAGAACAACGAAATTCAAATGTCCAGTTTGTGGAAAGGTTGTGAGGATTCCAAAAGGTGGAGCCAAGAAGTTTACTACCAACTTCGTGGTCAATACTACAACACAGACCTCACTTGAAACACAAGTTACTGGCTCAACAACATCTTCTTCCAATACAACACAAGTTACCAGCAACACCAAACAACCTTCATCAACAATAAAACATAGTTGTCCACATCACAGTGACCGAGAAGTTGAATTTTACTGTCAAATATGTGAGGAAGGAGTTTGTTCAAGATGTATGTACCTTCATCATAAAGATCACAAATCTTTAGACATAGAGAGTGACAATACCAAGGAAAACGCCATAGAAGAAGTCAGTAAGTTAGACAATACAATTCAACAGAAAATTAAAGATTTGGAAACAATCTCTACAACGTTAGAAGAAGCATCTAAAAAACTCTACACTCTGTGTGAGGAAGAGTGTAATAAAGTGACTGAATACACCGAGAAAATGATCGCAGATTTAAGAGAAAAATGTGAGAAAACAAGAAGCACAATTAAAACCTGTTTTGAAGAAAGTCAACGGAAATTGTCTGAAAGTAAGACAGGAGTTGATAACAATGTTAAAAATCTGCAGGTAGATCTGGAGACTAAATTACCATCTTTAGAGGAAGATTCTTGTCTTACAATATTACAATCTTTACCTGTGATGATAGATTTGGAGAAATTCAGTGGAAACATAACGGTTACTCTACCTGAAATAACATATTCCGAATGGAAGGAGCCTTGCGAAGTTTTACAAAGTTACATTGGACAGTTAGAATCTAGGATATTCTACCTACCGAAACTGAATGATTTTATATTCTCTATTGATGATATAAACGATTCTGTTTTAAAATATTACAGTAAGAATAAATACACTGCCCGTGGTATCGTGTGGAGTTGTTTTGTTCAGAGAACAGACGGTGATAACCTGGGTCTTTTCATCAAACTTCAACAATCTGATAATCCTGCTATTGCGAGCTGTGACATAGAATGTAGGTATAAACTTTTAAATCACGTAGGTCACGATTCTCGTGAAAGAATTCTGAATCATTGCTTTACAGAAAAGGAATTGGATTGGGGATATCATAAATATATATCGTGGAAGAAACTAACTGACAAACAAAATGGTTATATCAATGAAGACAATCAGTTTATAGTTGAGTTTAATATAACAGACATCAGAGATATCAAAATGAAGACAAGTGAATAAAGAGACAATCAGTATAACATGGTGACAAAAAAATACAAAATTATTTCTACTTGTATGAAATCTTTATGGGAGCCATCTGGATAATTGGTGCTGATTAAAAGTTATAGTTATCCTAGCTATATATATATATATATAGTTTTACAGTGTTAGAGATAAACTCTCATATGTTGGTTGAATTTGGCATCTTCCATGTAAAATACTATGTTTATCAACATATTAACCTTTGTGTCAATTATTATAATTTAGTTCAATGTTGTATATTGTAGAGAAATGGTTTATAAATATATGATTTAATTATTATGGGTCTTTTTATAAAAAGCTTCCCCTCTAATAAATATTGTACACCGTTGCTAAAGGAAGGAACATGATGTAAAATCATCCGATATGAAATCTTTAAACATATATATTTGTACCTAACAAACAGGTTAAGTTCCTTACTGATTCCTCCTCTTTTCTGTAAAAATTAAGATACAGAAGTATATTCCTTTAAATTGTCCATAACTTGATAATTGAAGGTGAAGTCGATTTCTTAATTAACTTAGATGACTTCTACCATTTATTGACTTCAAATAGAAGAGTTCTTCGACAGGGGAAATCAATACTATTTAATGTTAAAAGTGTCTTGCCGGACTCTTGATGTATGTCGACAGCAGATTAAAGTAGGCAAATGTTCTCTGTTTTAAGTAGCTGTGTTTGGTAAAGAAAACACATATATGATTTACAAGAATTTGTTTTTACATGCAATTATTGAGGCCTGCAATATACAAAACAATATAGACGAACACGAGATATATTGCGCCAATGATAAAAAAAAGTCGATAGGAAACAAAAATTGAATCTGAATTTTGTTTTACATTTTACATTTGGTTTGCATATCAAATAAGTAAATGAATACAAAAATCTTTGTCAACTAGAAATCAGCAGAGATGAAGATGAAATGTGGGTGTTAAGGATATTGGTGAAAAATCGTGACTGAATTGTATTAAGAAAGTTAAAATATTCCTTCCCTCTTTTCAATCACCACTGGAACATCCTAATACATCCTGATGTATTCAGTAAAACAAAGAGGAGGTAATTAAAAACTGTGGTTCCATCAGAAGACTTGTCAATAACAAGCACACAAATCTCTCATCTAGAGAGAATGATTAACATGTGAACAATAGCTCCTGCTGACTGACTTGATTGATATACCAAGTGAGATGTTATTAGCTGATGGTTATCCGTATCCCGTTATAACCTCCGTGCTTCCTGACACAATTGGTCAACACATCTTGAAATGAAAATGACACGTGCTCGGTTTGACGGTTAACACTTATGTAAGATGACACCATAATACCAATAATCACAAACCATCAACTGTTACACCAGCAACTCTTATAAACAACCTTCCTCTTTTCCATCTGATCAAGTATTCATATAAATAAATAAACCAAGTACATCAGAACCGCAAAACGAAATTTTATACCTTGACCAGTGCTTTAAAAAGGAGTCCTGTACTTTCAATATTATAAATTAAATAATATGTTTAAGATGTAATGAACTTATTTACCTTTGTGTCAATTTTTAGAATTTAATTCAATGGTGTATATCATGGAGATAAATAAACCAAGTTCTAACGATCCAAACCGCAAAACGAAACCCGAAATCCAAAACAACTTATTGGCAAAACATCAATCGCAGGTTATGAACTTTTCACACGAGGAAGTATATCAATTGTAAGTGAGTAAGTATTTCATATAAATAAATTCAAACTCGGAAACACATTATATGTAATACCATGACAACAAAAGACCTTCTGGTGGTAATGATATAAATATTGAAAATATAATAATATATGCAATATCCATATACATGCAAGTCTTATACCCAGTCCTTGCAAGACTAAAATAAAACAGGAAAGCATGACCTTTCAACGATCATCCATTAACGGTTACATTAGCATCAACTATGAACCTTGAAATATCGCACTTGATCAAAGTGTTTATAAATATAAATAATTCCATGCCGAATTTTGGTACAATCTACAAGGCCGAAATCGGAACATAACATTGCACTAAGGCTAGTTAAATATCAGACTTTATGTTTAACAGTTTTTGACTGCAGAATTTGAACAACAATACCTTCAAAACTGATTTAATGGAATTATTTAGATGTGAAACGATCATCACCCATCTCGGGCCATTCGTCCTTTCTATTGATATATGAGGTGGAATATTGTTGAATATGTGGTACCCTGATAGATGTGTTAAACAAAGACCTCGCAAAGCTGCATGTCCATCAGATATTCCATAAGATGAAGCAAGATTTCCTTTTTTTGTTTGTAGTATTCTGCACACGACCCTCAATATTTTGTCATTGTAGTAAAAAGGTTCAAGCGTCTAATTTAAAGTACATTAGACTTGTTCAAACTTGGTTTACTCTCAATGATTTTGGATAGAGAAAAGGTCTTTAGTTTCCATGAAACGATGCAAATGTTTCTCGCTTCGCCAAACTCATTCCATATTGGCGCTTTTAGACACGATCCACTATTTTAGTATATCTTTGGTGCCTTCCTGTTGTTAAATACAGCTTAATGCATATTTAAGGGAACTGCATTTAAATGTCTCCATTAATAGAATAGTCACTAAGCTTCTACCACTTACTCTAGCCTCCAGAAAGATATATGACAATCTAATTGTATTTCTATATAATGTATATGTGTTTAATGCCCTGTTGTAGTAACAGATTCCAGTCAGTCAAAGTCTTCACGATCACACTTACAAGAAGCTGGACTAAGCTGTCAGTGTCAGGCAATTATCTTTAATGACAGTCCTCGAGTAAATGAAGTGATTTCTGTGAAGGTCACGGAATGCGATGGTCGTTAATGATGCCTTCATTATTAGAAATAATCGCAGCCTAATGGCTGATCTATTACCACCGAAACATCTTAATCAGTGACCTTCATTATCTAGTGGACGATTTCCGTTTTATTTACAATCATGGCTAGAATTTTAAAAATAATTTGATTCTAGAAAATTAAATACAAACATTGCCAGAAATAATAAAAGAAAGATTTTGATATCAGATAATTGAGAAAAGACGTCGGGCTGTTTAGAGCCTATGCACAAATTGAGATTTTGAAGAAAATATGCATGCTTTTTGTCAATTGTTTTGTGTGTTTGTCTGTGATATTGCATTTTGATTCCGTATCAACAAGAAGGACTTGGTAGACGTCCTGCACAGTAGCTAAAACACAACCAAACTATAGTGCACTCAACAAGTACAAAGGCATATATAATTTTTTAACTTCGATCTTTTGGTCTAAAGATTTTAATCCTCAATTCAAATATGTGTATATATTGTTGTCTAAAACACGTTTTGCTTCGTATGACAAGGCCATTCATTCGAAAACATTGTCATTCTAATACAAAACGTCAATCGTGTTGAAAATTTAACCCCATGAATAAATCACCAAAAATTACATACTAGACCTGTTTGACACAGATCTGTCAGCTGCCGAACTAGTTTAAGTCCTCTGCATTTAGTATCTCAAAAGTAAATCATATAATATTATTACGATTCAACAATGTGGAACCCCATCTTGAATAACACAAATCTATTGAAAATGAAAACATGTACGTTGATAATTGGAAATATTTGTTTACTAGGAAGTAAATTATTACATATATATATATATACTAAGGTAGCCCATGGCCATTTAAAAACAATCTTATTGAATCTAGTATAGGATAATATTAAGATCATTAAGTTACTCTAGATAATTGGAGAGTTGAGAAAATGGGTATTTGATGTTAGTAAATGAGACTTTAACACCGACTGCTTCC